TTGGGGGCCCGGCCCACCCACCTCTGCCACGTCTGCCATCCCTCTCGGCACCCACCAGCATCTTTCCAATATTCCCGGTGGGCGGGGCCGAGCCGCAGCGGCCGCCTCTGGCCCCCCCTCCCCGGGCAGCCAGTGCCAGATGAGAGCAGGAGACAAAAGTAGCATTTTCCTCGTCCTCCTGGGCCGGCGGCAGGGCCTTTCCCAAGCGCCACTTGCTCCTGGCAGTCCTGCCCTCCCTACCTGGTGCCGGAGGGTCCGGGGCTCAGGCCGGGACCCAGGGACCCAGGGGTGATGGGTGGCCAGAATCCAGGAGGCCTGAGGGCCCAGTGGCCGGGGCTGACACCTGGGGACACCCACCCTCCTCCCCCTGCCAGGGTGACCGGCCAGTGCAGAGGACAGCACCTCCACTTCCTGGTTTTTGCCAAGCGTCTTCCTCCGGCACCTTGGTAAGTCACCTTCTCCCCTCTTCCTGCTGGAAACAGCAGAGGGCCCTGCCATCTTGTGCTCCGTGCCCGTTACATCTCCTCCTCTAATTGGCTCATCCGAAACCCCAAATTCTATTTCAGACCCCCACCACCACCATCTTAAAACTGCCGGGCAGAGGCAGAAGCCAAGCCCATTTATTTTTAAGATCCAAAGCTACTGGCTTTCGAAATCATAATAAAAATGAATGTTTGTTATTTCACAGTAGCTGCCTATTCAATTATAATTTGAACGAATGCTGCAGGAGGTACCCGGAGGCACGGCCTACCTTTTCTTGCCTGGTTGTCTTGCTTTGTTGCGGGGGGGTGGGGAAGAGGCTGTTGTGTTCATCACTGTCGTTATTTTTATTTTTGGCGGTGCCAGGAGTAGCAAAGGGAAAAACCCCAGACTCGTCCTCGTCTTCTCCCAGCAGCCTCTGCGGTGCGGGCAGGGGAGGCCGGACACATGGGAGGGAGGACTCTGCGTCCAGAAACAGAGGCCCTTTTATTTTGTCCTGCATCTCTAATGCTACCACATCACAATTTGGGGATCTAGTTCTTTCTTCCTTTCGTTTTATTTTATTTTTTGAAAAAAAGAAAAGAAAGAAAGCTCTCTTTTTTTGGCTCTCAGTTCGTTGTTGGGGGTGGGATCTGAGGTTGTGAGCTTTGCTTTTTAAGTACTTAAGTTTGGGGGTTCCACGTCCCAGTGCTGTGTCTGGCTGGTAACTGCCTGGGGGTGCAGTGGGCACCATGTACTAGACAGACCCTCGGGTGGTCCCCAGGCCTGCTGCCTTCCGGCCAGGACAGTGTGCCTGGCTATCTAGAGCCAGAAATGTGGCCACAGCGCTGGGATTCCCTCCAAGACCTGTGCCCCCTCCCGCTGTGCCGCTGCCATCCCGGAGTGGGGTCAGGGGCTGCCAGGGTTTGGCCTCGGGCCCTGCGGAATCGCTGCCCTTTCTCGGTGGGTTTCGCGGAGCTGGGCTGCCCACTCACCTCCACCCTTTGGCGGGCTGACAAAAGCGGCCCGACTCGGCCTGGTTTCCCACATTCAAGGGGAGCTGAAGTCTTGATTTATGGGAAATGGAAAATCAGACCCAGAAAGTTGTAAAAGCATGAAGAGGAAAATTCCCACGTAAATACATCTTTGTTTGACGAGTCCGGAGGAGGCGTGTGGGCACCTCTGAATCCGAACACGCAGCTCCGCTCACATGAGGGGTAGCGTGGCTGCTTTTGTTCTTAGATCAGGCAGCAGTCGCTACAGAGGGCTCAGGGCTGCAGAGACAGGCGTATATAGCGGAGATAATTAAAACATTTTCATGATTGTGACAGCCACATTCTGCTGCCGCAAGCTGGAGCATTTATCCCACCCAAATATTTATCAAGCATCGAATAAAACACTGGTGGCAAAATAAAAGTAATAGGGGGAAAAAAATCCAGTGCAGTGTATTTTAGAGGCGAAAGAGTCCAGACGAAACAGAGTTGGGAAGGAAGGAAAGGGAGCCTCTTTTTTTTTTTTTTAAATTCACAGTATTAATTAGCAGCGCACTCTTCACTCTTTTGGGGGCATAATTAATGTAGGTAAATAGAGCTTGAATCCTAAACTCTAGAATGATAAATGGTCAAATTCCCTGAGCAATAATTTACCTTCTTTTTGGACAAGATAGGGGCAAGCAGCAGGAAAAAAAAACAAAAACAACAGTTGATTTATATAAGTGAGGATTTTCATTCTGAGTTTGTAGTTTGCACTCTTGTGGCTTCTGTTTTGTGTGTGGACCTCCTATACCTGTGGTGATTTATTTATCATCTGAAGTTTTTGACTGGGTTACCAATTGACCACCCTGAAAAAACAAACAAACAAAAAAACAGTAAACTGCAGTGGATTCTGTTTCTAAAAAAAATTATCAGCCAGCATCTCAGCAATCTCCCAGGAGCCCAGGACTTCTGGGCAGTATTTTTGGGGGGCCTGGGCCTGCCAGACAAGTGCTGTACCACCGAGCTGCGCCACCGGGCACCTCACCCCTTTCCTTTTCTTTTCTCTTCTTTTTTTTTTCTTTGAGAAAGTACCACGCAAAGCACGCTCCACATCGTTGCCTCTATATAAATCCCACTATAGGCTGAAATTATACATTCTCACGGCACAGATGGGCCGGTCTGTCATCGCGCCCGCCCGGCACTTGTTGGAACACACAGCGTATTTCGATTGTGAAGTCGACAGTTTCAAAGAACTGGGGTCAGAATAAACAAGCTGCATCGTGTGTAGAAACAGACTTCTTCGATGATCTTCTCACCCCCTGGAAAATTTGGTATAGTGGCAACCGTCACCTTTGTCAAATTTTCATTTGATTTCTGGTCTTCATCTTTTAAAGCTCCCTTTGCCCCGTGTTGAAGGACATCGCAGGTTTTAATTTATGGCCAGTTTCTGTCTTGTTTTTTCTGTATGAACTGCGTAGTACGAGACTTCAGTTCCGACTCGTGGGGTGTGAGACTTCTAAATCGAATATCTTCCTTCTCTGCAGGGAAGAGCTTCACTCACTAGCTGTTCTGTGAGAACTTAGGTGGAAATTATTTTGAGATCTTTGTGGAAAATTAGATGATATTTTGGATGGCCTAAAGATCTGTTTACATCCAAACTTTTTAAAAAATTATGCAGGTAAACTACATAGAGGAGCTATAAATTTAAAAATTATCTCACCAAGATAAAGTAGAGAATTTATTTATGTATTTATTTAATTTTTTTTGGTACCGGGGATCGAACTCGGGTCCTTGCACTTGCTGAGGCAGGCACCGGAACCGCTAAGCCAAATCCCCAGCCTCAGTATTTATGGTCCATATCAACACCTTCTAGGGCAGAGCAGTTTTATGGCCACAGTAATTCACGAATGATGGTAACTGTTTATTTTGCGAATTTGCACATAAGTATGACATGATCAGCTCTGAGGCTTTGCGTTTTTTTCCCCTCCCCCTTTCCCATGTCTTAAGCATCTGCCCTTCATCCAGAATCTGGGGGCGATCTGGACAGCAGCTCCTCACTGGGAGACGGTGTCCTGCATTGGGGTGGGGCAGGGCCCTGTTCCCAGTGGACCCTGCGTGCTCACGCAAGCACTTTGGTGTCGTTTGTTTTGAGGGCTGTACCTGTTGCTATAGATGTTAACGAACAACAGCAGCAATGAAAAATTGGTGAAATTTGGGGGGGGAGCTATGTTCCCTAGCTGCTCCTTAGTCTGGTGTTTTTGGTTTTCTGTTTTGTTTTAACTTTATTTTTTTTCATGTTTTTTGTTGTTCTGGAGCAGGGTCTCACTTTGTAGTTCAGGCTGGCCTTAAACTCACTACATGGCCCAGGCTGGCCTCGAATGCCCAGCAATCCTCCTGCCTCAGCCTCCTGAGTTCTGGGAGTACAAGGTGTGGTGCCAGATTTTTAACCACTTTGTCCTTTCCAGCTGGCCTGTAGTCTGTAACCTGCTGTCGTAGAGTCAGAGGAGTAAGCCACTGGCACAAGTGTTCTAAAGAGGTACAGAATGAGATGGTCCTGGTGCCAGGGTAAGCATGCCGGTGGTGATAGCTGTGACAGTGGTAATAAATAGGGCTTCTACTTTCGCCATTGGGGCCGTCCTGTGGCAGGATGCCCTTTATGTTTGGAAAAGCAAGTGCTCTAGAACCAAGAGCCAAGCCCTGGGTTCAAGGTGAGACTTGTACCTCTCAGAGCCTCAGTTTGCCTGTCTGTAAAATGGGCATGGCAGGTGTAATCAAGCTGACCATCTGGAGAGCTTGCCCTTGAGAGTGCCCTCTACTGCTGACACTCGTTCGAGTCTCAGGAAGCGCCTGCAAGGGAAGGTCCGCCTCCCCCTGCCACACGTTGAAGCAGTGACCCTTGAGAGATACTCTGTGTGGCTTCCCAGAGGTTCAACCAGCAGATGGGATCCGGGCCCTGCCATGCCTGCCCTGGAGTCTCCGGAGTGTTCTGCTGTGGCATTCACTGGTGAGCGTCACTGAGTCTGTGCAGGTGGCCAGGCAGACATGCACGGAGCTGGGTCAGGCACCGCACGTGTGCATGCTGTGTATTCATCACTGTGGTCCTCGGCCCGGCTGGCGGCAGTGGTCATAGAGGCAGACCGGTCCCTTCCAAGTGGGCACAGGCACGGCCTAGGGGCCATGATGGTTGCCCTCCCGAGCCTCCGAGACACCCAGGGTTTCTTGGAGCTTCTCTGTTCTCCCTGGAAGGCCCCGGCCCGGCCACCGCTGTCACCTCCTGCCGCCATTTGCACGCTGAGACAGTGGCAGGGAGCCTCCCAGCTGGCCACGCAGGAAATGGCGCCGGCTTGGCCCGGGGCAGGATCCAGGAAGGCGGGCTGGGGGTGGGGGTTGGCTGGAAGCCCCGTGTCGCCTGAGGACAGGTGTACACCCGGGGGACACCAAAGGGCAGGGGCCGGGGTGGCAGTGCGATGCATCCAGAGCACCCGGACACTCGTCATGCCACCACGAGGGCCTCCGAGTCCCGGCGTCACAGGAGTCTTGGTGCTGGCCAGACGGTGCCTGCTGAGACAGTGCCGTAGGGGCTCAGGAGGAAGAAGTTGGGATCTGGGCTCCCTCAGAGACGTCTGCTGCTTCTGCCTTGCTGTCCCTCACTGTGAATTCAGTGTAACAGTGGCCACATGCAGGGGTGCGCCCGGACGGGCAGCAGTCGACAGTGGGCCCTGGGCCCTGAGACTCTCCCGGCACCTGTACACCCCCATGGGGAGCAGCGGGTGGGGTGCCTTGGAGGCAGCTGGCCACGCCGGCATGTGCGGAACCTCTGACCCAGTTTCCTGGGCGCCGGGCCCTGCCCAGGATTCCTGTAGTGGGTGTGCCCTGCTTCCGGCACCGCGTGGGTGGAAGGAACCGGGGATCTGTGTTCCTACCCTGCTGGGGCTCCCTGCTGGCATGCAGCCATGTTTGACTTGGGGGGCTGAGGGGTCCCCAAGGGACCCACCGTGCCCTCGTGGTGTGAG